GTAGCTCTCACCTCATTTGTTTCCCTTTTGTTAAGGACCACTGGCCTTCAGTGTCTGCTGTTCGATGTCTGAAAAGCAGTGCTTCATATATTTTGCTTGGATGATTCATTGTTTAAGGGGCCAAGAGGTTCTGCTCCTATAAAGATTTACAGCCTTGGAAACCCACAAGGGCAGTTCTATGAGGCGGATGTCAATTGGCGCGATGTCAGTGAGGGTTTTTGCTTGGGTATCCCATTATTGCCAAGACCACACAGCATTCATTCTGTTACCCATCAGATTGCCATGCCTGGCAACAACTAGCAACACAGCATTCTTCTACAGATGTCTGTAGCGGTAAGATCTATTTTTACTGCTGAAGGCTTCAAGGATTCCTACTTGATATTAATTTGGCTCTTTATTTGCTCGATGTGCAGTTTTCAGTATGTTGGAATGGCTGGACTCTGAAAAAAGATGGCCCTTGGGGACCGTGGCCCATGAGTTAGGAGCAGTTGGTCTACTCCCACAGATATGGAAGTTCTTATGCCCTCATTTCTACGTGGGGTCTACCTTCACCTACTTTCTCATTTTCCCACTGGGCACTGCCCATAGGAAAAACCTTACTCCCTGAACAAGAACTCATCCAGGATGTCTGGACAGCTGTGTGGGATAGGCATCCAAATGGACAGGCCTGGCTCTGGCATTTATACGGCAAAGACCACTCAAACTCGTGGGGCTCTCCAGCAGCCAGTTTGCCACCGTATCCCACTCTCCTCTTCCAACCACTCAGGGTAACAGCGTAAGGTCTGAAGGGTAAGGAACCTGAACGGTTTGTCAGGCCTTGAGCCTGTTCTCGCTCTTTAAGAAATTCTAATTTTATTCTTCTCCCCCCTTTTATTTCTGAATATAACACAAAGAAAAACACACTATATGCAGTTAGTTGCACAATCGATCTCATCAAAACAATGACAGCATCGAAGGAAACTGCCTGGTGTACGTCGACCTTCCTCCTCCTCTTCCACCTTTCCCTACCCACCCTCCCTCCTTATCGCCCTCTCCCTGCCTCCCACCCTGGTCCTGGCCTCATCAGAGTCTTCAAAGTCTTTTCCTTTGGTTTGAAAACCATTTTTTTCCTCTTTATAATAATGGCCTCACAAGATACGTATCTGTCTGAGATTGACTAACCTTGCTGAACATAATGTCCTTCAATTTTGGCTGTGGCATGAGGTGTGTTTGACAGATTTGTCATTGTTTTTTCAAGGATGCATAATATTCCCTGTGTGAGAGTACCAGAGTTTGAGTATCCATTCATCCACAGATGGGTTTTTGATGTGTACATCTTTTTGCTGTTCTAGAAATTGCTGTGATAAACACAGGTGTGCATAGGTCTGTTTGTGTTTTGTTCCTTCTTTCTTTAGGGTGTATGCCAAGTAGAGAGACTGCGGCCTCCTGAGGTATTTGTGTTTATTTAAGGAAGCACTGTACTGATTTCCGTAGTAGTTGTACAGTGTGGCAATCCCACCAGCAATGGATGAGCATTCCATTCTCTCCACATCCTCCCCAGCACTGATTCTTTTCTGTACATTTTTAAGTTTATTGAGTGTCGTTGTGGGGTGGTACCACATTATTGTTTTAATTTGTATTCACCTTATGGCTAATGAATTAAAACATTTCTTCCTTTAACTGATGTTACATCTTTAGTAAGAAAGTAAACCCAATCTTAAATTCCATCACTCAAAGCATTAATGAAGTCCAATGTATAATCCGGGTAATGCTTATTTTCTCTTTCCTTTTCTCTACTCGTCCATTCCAGAAAACCTCCAAGTTCCAAAAAAATTCTAGTACCCCAACTTCTTATTTTCTTGGCCTAGATAAGTGATTGCTTATCTATGGGCCGTGGACCCGTGAGGGACAATGGCCATGTATATCGTCTCTACACTGACTTATTATTCAAGTAACCCTACTATCGTCTGGGGATCCTAGAAACTCTTGACATTGAAAATGGATCCGACATAGTACAGGAATTTTATTACAAGCAAAGCCCCCAAGGTCAGAGAGAAAATGGCTAAAAATTTTTTATTCTATCTTGATTCTTTATGATAATTATTGGCTTTTCTTTTCTGGCATCTTTTTATTGTTGTCCCTCCCTTCTGTTTTGCCCATTGTCCAGAGTTTCCACACCAGGGAGAAACCGAGGACTAAGCCGGCAAATAAGAATGCTGACTCTTGGGAGTCATTAACAACTACGTCCCTAGGATAGCAGCAGCAAGTTCACTTTCATTGCCATCCTTGCATGTGCTAGGAATAGCTCTCTGCACCAACTACGAGGCACTGGACTTTTCATGCTAGTTCCTTTCATTTGCAGATTCTCCAGCATTACAGCTTTGGGAGGAACAGCCCTCAGCTCTGAGTTTAGTCTCGGGAAAGAAGGCTGACGTCAGTTTCTGGTCCTCTGTAGTGGTTACACGTTGGGCTGCAATCCAAATGGTCAGCGGTTTGAAACCACCAGCAGCTCCGAGGGAGAAAGACTAGGCTTTCTATTCCCACTCCCATAAGGAGTCACAATCTCGGAAGCCCGCAGGGGTCGCTGTGAGTTAGCGATGGCAGTGAGTTTGGGTTTTGTCCATTTTCTTGACTAGCAGGCATGGAGACATGGTCCCAGGGGCGGGCGGGGGGTGGGGG